GCACGTGAAGCCTTTTCTTTTTAAGCCCATGTTTCCCCGATCTCGACTGGCTTTTAGAGTGCCAGTTTCACCGCCACATCAGCAGTTGCGCATCAGCTCTGTTTTTTCCCGCCCTTCCGCAAAACAAGCTAAAAAGGTTCCACCGAGATTTGAACTCGGATCGCTGGATTCAAAGCCCAGAGTGCTAACCATTACACCATGGAACCACCACACGCTGGTCTCTGGCCGTCTGAGAGGCAGATAGTGATGAGGCTAGGTGGAATCAGGTTAACAGGAGATGACGTTTGCTCACTGGAGACCCTCGACCAAAAACACAGGAACCAGGTTGCTCTGCCGAAACCCGGGATCGAACCAGGGACCTTTAGATCTTCAGTCTAACGCTCTCCCAACTGAGCTATTTCGGCCAGGTCTACTGGCAAATGGTTTGTCCAGCAGGGATTTCTGGGAGACCGCCCGTCACTTTCGAGGTGAGCAGAGCTGAGGGTCCCAGAGAGCAAAAGTGTGGCCAGTACGAGGATCGAACCCACGACCTTGGCGTTATTAGCACCACGCTCTAACCAACTGAGCTAACCGGCCCCGATCTGACTCCTTTTATCCCCAATTTCCCAGGAATATCCTAGTTGCCCTAGTCAGCTTGAAGAGATTAAAAGCAAAGCCTGAGAACGGGCTCGTCCGGGATTTGAACCCGGGACCTCTCGCACCCTAAGCGAGAATCATACCCCTAGACCAACGAGCCAACACACACATGTCCTTCCTGCTGCTGCCTGGCCGAAAACATTTCCGTTTTCCAGGCTTAAAGCACAAAGGTTTAATTAAATGTACAACTAAACGGTAGCCAGTGCAAAGTTGCCGACACAGAAGAAATACGGTCTCTTTGCTTTGTGAGAACTTGACCTACAAAAAACGCTAGTACATATGGGCGTATGCCAAATCGATTGACCTGATGCCTGATAGGTTACAAGTTACTGGTGCCCTCCTTATGAGAACAAAATCCACATTCGATCAAAGTCGGAAGCTATTGCAGATGCTCGATGGTGTTTTAAAAGGAGTTTTGAGCAGGACCACTCTGGAACACAGGCCTCCACCACCCGGAACAAAACATGAACATTCCATGCACGCGCCACAGCAAACTTGCGCTGATGTAAACTCTCACATAACACCCGCTGTCTTCTTTGCACACGAGGCAACTGAGCAATCATACCCCTAGACCAACGAGCCAACACACACACATCCTTCCTGCTGCTGCCTGGCCGCAAACATTTCCGTTTGCAAGGCTTAAAGCACAAAGGTTTAATTAAATGTACAACTAAACGGTAGCCAGTGCAAAGTTGCCGACACAGAGGAAATACGGTCTCTTTGCTTTTTGGGCATTGGAAACCACGCTGCAGCACTTTCACACATGCTGTGGGATGGACACCTTCTCACCACATCGTCGAGGGGAATTAGCTCAAATGGTAGAGCGCTCGCTTAGCATGCGAGAGGTAGCGGGATCGATGCCCGCATTCTCCACGCGGTGTACTGCCCTTTTACGCTCACTTCAAAGGGATGTTCAGTTTCACCGCCACATCAGCAGTTGCGCATCAGCTCTGTTTTTTCCCGCCCTTCCCCAAAACAAGTTAAAAAGTTTCCACCGAGATTTGAACTTGGATCGCTGGATTCAAAGCCCAGAGTGCTAACCATTGCACCATGGAACCACCACATGCTGGTCTCTGGTCGTCTGAGAGGCAGATAGCGATGAGGCTAGGTGGAATCAGAAAAGTTTTTTTCGGACGAGGTCCTGCGCACATTCCTGGCAAAAGCAGGTCCCACCGAGATTTGAACTCGGATCGCTGGATTCAGAGTCCAGAGTGCTAACCATTACACCATGGAACCTTGGCGTGGGTAGCCTTTTCCCACCGAGCAGCAGAGGTGTTTAGTCATTCAGCCCAGAAGCGCGACAGCAAAGAGCACGTGAAGCCTTTTCTTTTTAAGCCCATGTTTCCCCGATCTCGACTGGCTTTTAGAGTGCCAGTTTCACCGCCACATCAGCAGTTGCGCATCAGCTCTGTTTTTTCCCGCCCTTCCGCAAAACAAGCTAAAAAGGTTCCACCGAGATTTGAACTCGGATCGCTGGACTCAAAGCCCAGAGTGCTAACCATTACACCATGGAACCACCACATGCTGGTCTCTGGCCGTCTGAGAGGCAGATAGCGATGAGGCTAGGTGGAATCAGGTTAACAGGAGATGACGTTTGCTCACTGGAGACCCTCGACCAAAAACACAGAAACCAGGTTGCTCTGCCGAAACCCGGGATCGAACCAGGGACCTTTAGATCTTCAGTCTAACGCTCTCCCAACTGAGCTATTTCGGCCAGGTCTACTGGCAAATGGTTTGTCCAGCAGGGATTTCTGGGAGACCGCCCGTCACTTTCGAGGTGAGCAGAGCTGAGGGTCCCAGAGAGCAAAAGTGTGGCCAGTACGGGGATCGAACCCACGACCTTGGCGTTATTAGCACCACGCTCTAACCAACTGAGCTAACCGGCCCCGCTCTGACTCCTTTTATCCCCAATTTCCCAGGAATATCCTAGTTGCCCTAGTCAGCTTGAAGAGATTAAAAGCAAAGCCTGAGAACGGGCTCGTCCGGGATTTGAACCCGGGACCTCTCGCACCCTAAGCGAGAATCATACCCCTAGACCAACGAGCCAACACACACATGTCCTTCCTGCTGCTGCCTGGCCGAAAACATTTCCGTTTCCCAGGCTTAAAGCACAAAGGTTTAATTAAATGTACAACTAAACGGTAGCCAGTGCAAAGTTGCCGACACAGAGGAAATACGGTCTCTTTGCTTTGTGAGAACTTGACCTACAAAAAACGCTAGTACATATGGGCGTATGCCAAATCGATTGACCTGATGCCTGATAGGTTACAAGTTACTGGTGCCCTCCTTATGAGAACAAAATCCACATTCGATCAAAGTCGGAAGCTATTGCAGATGCTCGATGGTGTTTTAAAAGGAGTTTTGAGCAGGACCTCTCTGGAACACAGGCCTCCACCACCCGGAACAAAACATGAACATTCCATGCACGCGCCACAGCAAACTTGAGCTGATGTAAACTCTCACATAACACCCGCTGTCTTCTTTGCACACGAGGCAACTGAGCAATCATACCCCTAGACCAACGAGCCAACACACACACATCCTTCCTGCTGCTGCCTGGCCGCAAACATTTCCGTTTGCAAGGCTTAAAGCACAAAGGTTTAATTAAATGTACAACTAAACGGTAGCCAGTGCAAAGTTGCCGACACAGAGGAAATACGGTCTCTTTGCTTTGTGGGCATTGGAAACCACGCTGCAGCACTTTCACACATGCTGTGGGATGGACACCTTCTCACCACATCGTCGAGGGGAATTAGCTCAAATGGTAGAGCGCTCGCTGCGCAAAAGCAGGGGTCCAATCTTTGCGCCCCGCACGCAAGCGAAAAGGACGCAGAAAACGCGAAAAAACGCACAAATTTGCCCTGCAACAATATTCGGGCTATATTCCTGTACGTTATGGAAGAGTTTTAGTTACATGTGAAACAAGTCACACTCCGCGGGCTGGGCTCGAACCCCTGTTCTGCACGACTAGTGTGTGATCAACTGCGCATGCGCCTTCATTTGGTTATCAATGTGACATATCATTATATTGATTGATATTAATTGTGTATATTATTTAAAAAAAAAAACATATTACATGTTTATGGTTTAATAAAACTAATACAAATGTTTATTCAAATATGTGTTTTTTTTGTGTGTGGGATTGATTGATGTGATTTATCTGATTTATTTTAGGACACTTCAAATGTTTTATACACACAAATGCACACAAATATCGAAATGTAATTTTTTTTATTAAAATGAATACACACAAATATTGAAATAAGTACACACACACGCATAAATATATGGACATACACACAATATATGTGTTATTTACAATGTATACTCTATGAAAGAGTGGGTGGGCCCATGTACAGTTTGCACATTCCAGTCCCAAGGCAATTAAAAGCAGCACAATGAATAATAGTGTGAACAGTATTTATTTACTAAAACTACAAGACATTAATGAACAAAAATAAACAACTAACAATGTAGAAATAGAATAGAACATTCTGTAATATAAATAAAACAAACAAGACATTACAGAAAGATTGAGAGAGAAAAAAGAACATAACTGTAATTACACATAGATATTTATTTACAGGTATTTACAAACAATCTTTTTTCTGTGTTGAAAGATTTTTTATTATGGAGGTGGCTGTCCAGGTTTTTTCTGCTGGCGCTGTTCTACCAGCCACTCCTCTAAAGATTTGCCACCAGAGACACTGGGGCAAAACGTGGCACTGCCGAAGCGGCTGTGGCCGAACTCCTTGGTTTTGGGCTTGCCACACTTAGAGCATTTGTTATATGCCACTTCACGGACATATTTCCTTTTGTGGGCTCCACTGGCCTCCTCTTCTGCCCTGCGTCGTCTGTTCCTCTGAGTGAAGCGGGACACAGACACCGGGGCAGTGGGAGCAGGAGCCTCTCGCACGTCAGGAAACACTGGAGTTGGAGCCAGGAGAGGAGCAGCTGAAGCGCCACCTGCACCAGCTGCCAGCAGCGTGGGCGCAGTGTTCAATAAAATGAACTGGGGTAGTGGCACAGGAACTGGGGGAGGAGTAGGAGCTGCTGGGGTAATTGGCCTCACAATTGCAGCACTGGCAGGTCGTCTGCCCGGCCGTAGCTTAGGAGCCTGTCCCGCTCTGTTAGGAGGAAGGACAAACTCGTGCCGGGCCCCTGATGTGGAGGGAGCCTCATCCAGCTTTTCCCGCGGAGCAGGAAGCTGTGAGCTGGCCACAGCGATGCGGTCTTCTGCAGCAAGGCCCTGGGTAAGGACAGTCACTTCCTGGGTGTTCTCCCTTCGATTAAACCTGCAATCAAAAAATGTATTCATAATAAATAACTGCTATCCCTTTCTTTCAAATGTCAATGTAAAACCATGCTTACCACTGAGTGAGAGTCCTCTGATTCAGCATAAACAGCTGAAGTGACGTGGCCTCCATCAGAGTTTGGCAGTTCAGCACCAGGTCTCGGATGTGGTGGTAATCCGTGAGCACCTTAGTCCAACGAGGAAGACGGACTCCATCCTTCTTAGTTGGGGACTTGTGAAGTGCACACAGTTTGATACACATGGCCTCAACTAAGCGACTGGTGCTGGGCCACTGAGCTGGCCCCCCAGGATGACCAATCAGGCACCTCTTCACACTGTCCACACCCGGTGTCACTCCTGTGTTTTTTGGAGCCTTGAAGCGTCCGTGGGTCAGTTTGGGCTGGTGTCTGGGCTGATAGTGGATCTTCCTCTTGTCCCCATCAGGAAGAGTAGTCCACAGACGGATGACCTCTGTGACCTGCTGCTCGTCCAGGTAGAGTGCCTGACGGAGGGACACCAGGTACTCAGCCAGATCCTGCACCTTATCCCAGCCTGCAACGCCATCGGGTCCAAGAACAGGAGCCTGCAGGAAAGTATTACAATAACAATACACAGCATGTTAAATGTCAGAGTGTAAAAGCAAATAGAAACTAATAATGAGAAGCTTACTTACAGGAGCCTGGTCTGCAACACTGGACCCAGTTGATGTTGCAGGAGCAGAGGCAGCACTTGGCTGGACAGAAGGCTGTGGAGGAGACTGCAGAGGAGGCTGAGCAGGGCGCAGAGGAGGAGACTGCAGAGGAGGCTGAGCAGGGTGCAGAGGAGGAGACTGCAGAGGAGGCTGGGCAGGGCGCTGCAGTCCTGTGGGTGGCTGTAGTGAGGATGGTCCTGGTGCAGAGGGACAGGGGTTGAAGGCCTGGGGGCCGCTGCTGTGGACTGGGACAGGCTCAATGGGGTCATAGAGGACTGGCACTGTGAGGTCCTCAGGTTCCTCCTCAACAAAGCCTTCGTCCTGCACCACCTCATCAGTCATCTGCTCCACCAGCCGATCCTCCTCTTCTGGGTTATCCATAACAGTCAGGGATTTCCCAGACTGACTGTACAGATACTCCATACCCAGCAGCTCCCCTGCAAAAGAACACACATACAAAGCACATTCACATTATTATAGCTATAGTGGCTATTTGTCCATAACAAACTGAAACAAAAAAAACAATCAAACTTTTCAAACTTTGATCGTTTGTAGGCTTGACGCAGTTTAACAGATCAAAAAATTAAAATAATAAACAAGAAGATAATAAGCATAAATGCAAAATAAAGCAAATTCACTTTAGCAAAAGAAAACAAAGAAATAAGGCTATTTCTGTCGTACAAACAGTCAAATTAAGCCTAAATTAAACAAAGTACAAATAACTCCAACAATAGTTGAATTATTTAAAATACAATATAAAAAATTTACACTCATACACCTGTATAATGTATAATCTTTTGTTTGAGTTAACATGAATAATTCTCACCTGTGTAAGCCCCTGGAGGCTGGTAGCGATCATCCAGGGACATCTTCAGCACTTTGCGGCTGAGCCGGTCCATTGCCTCCCTCTCAACGCTACTGTAGGTCCTCAGGTCAGTCTTTCCCCTCACTGCTTCATCCATCCGGTCCTGGTTCCAGCGCATCAGGCCTTCCAGGAGATAGGCCTGGAAATGCGCATCACTGGCACTGGTCCCTACAGGTCAAATAAAGTCAAATATATGTTATCTATGTATTCAGTACGGCAGAATAGGTTATAAAAGTTTAAAGTTTTTTGCAGGTTATAAAAGTTATAACCTACCTGGGATGAAGCGATTTAAATGGAGGTGGAAAGACTCCAAGGAGGTGGAGCCACGAGCACAGCGATAGCAGCTGAGCTCCACACCACCCTTCTTCAGTGTGTCTGTCTTCTGGTACAGAGGGAAGCCCTCTGGGTCCTGAATACAGGCGATGTGCCTCTGCTGGTCTATCCAGACCTGTTGGATTCGCTCGTGGTCCAGCAGTGGTACACCCAGAGTGTCCCTCCCCTTCTCACTGTCCATCTCATCAATGAGCGCCTTGATCCTCCAGGTGGTCTCCTCCACTCCTCTGGTCCGCTTGCGACAGTGCAGTGCCAACTCCTTCCTGGTGATCAGCTTATCCAGAGCCTTCTCTGAGACTGGACCAGCTCCTCTGGCCTGTAACTCCCCCTGTTTGGCCAACCGTAGAGCAGCGACATCATCTGGATCCAGCTCAAAGATGCACCTGGAAAGCCGAGCCATGAAGGTGCCGTAAAGCTGATGAGCCTCCGTGATGACACCTGCTGCAAAGCGCCGCATGAAGTGCCAAATATCTAGGCGCACTTGGAGCTCATCCCACTCTATGAACATGGCTCTGACCTGCGACTGTCTGTGTGCGTGTGGGCTGCAGCAGTCTCTGTCCACATACATGACGGCGGGTGGTGCCACTCCCGCCTCCCTGTACCTCTTCATGAGACCCACCGCCATGGGCCACAATCCATGCCCCTCTGCCGCTGTGAGGACTGACACCAACACCTGGCCGTGCTCATTGCCTACATTAGTGCACCAACCAGCAGTGTTGGCAGCAGCGCCGGCCAGTTTTTTGGTGACCTATGTAAAAAAAAAAAACAGTAGAATAAACAAATTTCAGAAAAATTTAAGATAATAACAATTATTATTACTCAAACTTGACTTTTTATACCTTTTTGGTGGAGTCCATCTTGAGGACAGAGCCAAAGACTGAGGTTATTTTGGCCTTGACCTCAGGTAGCCGCGAGAGGACGTCCCTGGCATACACAGACAACAGCCACTTGGGTTTGGGGATGGGTGGGAGGGGCGGGGGCGCAGAAAAGAGTGGAGGCTCAACGATGGAGGAGTCTGTGAAGGGCTCACAGACAGTGAGGTACTCCAGCGTCCGCTGTGACCACGCTGATGTGTGTTGCTCCTGCAGCTTTTTGTGAAGCTGTGTGACACTGTTGCCCCGGGTCCTCTCCCGCATCATTATGACTACACGGTAGTCACACGAGTACCTACAGACAGTCAAATAATTCTGTTCAGTGCCACATCTTATTATTTCAATGTTAATATCAGTAAATCAACGTATTTGATTTTATACAGTACAACAAATTACAGTGCATTGCTCTAAATATGAATGTGTTCTACCTGTATGTCAGAATGGCGGGGAATTTTCTGCGGTGTCCCATGTCGAGCTGTCCCAGGATGTCTTCAGACCAGGCTGGATACTTCTTCTTGCACCCTTTGCACTCCAGATACTCTGTGGCCATGTCATACCACCCGTCTATGTCCAGGACCTTGCGCACAGTGCGATAAAGGCCAGCAGCTGTCAGCTTGTGGTTATTGCAGGCTGGCTGGACACAGACAAGTGGAATGGACCACATCTTCAGCGGCATCCAGAGGAACAGAGGGCGGCAGAAGAAGATATCAGGAGAAGTAGGGGGCTGGGTGAAGACGGTCGGGGGCTGGGGAGGGTACCACCAGAAGTTGGGATGTGGCGTCAGCTCAGGCTTCCCTGTTTTTATGTTGGCCCTGAACAGAGTCTTCCTGATCCAGTCCTGCTGGAAAGATGGGAGTTGCTCTTTCCAGTGAACAGGAAGCTCTGCAGGCGACTGGGACACCTGGCCAGGGGTCCACAATGCTGGAGGAGCAGGATAAGGGGCAGGAGCAGGGGCAGTAGCACGAGCCGGGGCAGGAGCAGGGCCTCTCGAGCCTGCAGTGGCTGGAGCGTAAAAAAACACAACAAAATTATCTTATTGTTTTAGACTTTCACTGCATGACTTTCTCAGCTCTGCTGGACAGCTACTGCGATTACAAGGTTTACTGCAAAGCATGTATGATTAGTAGAGAGACGACATGATGATGAAAAGATGGAAGGAAGCAGTGAAAATCATCCTGTTTTTCATCCAAGCACCATTAGAAGAAATACAAGAAGAAAAAAAGATGGGATCAGCCAAGTGTGAAGCGAAGCAGACCAAACACTACAACAGCCACTTATTCCAAGGGGAGTGGGGGAAGTGTGAGATGACAAGAATGAGCTTTAGTCAGTGATTACGATAAAAAATGAAATCAAACCTTTTACATACACCTTTAAATTCTCTTTTTTCCTTTGAGGATGTTCACTCAAAGAGTGAATGTAGATTGACACCTGAGAAGTGCCATTCCTCTGTGTTGTGAAATAAAATAATATGATATGTCATTTAAAAAATACTGTTTTGTTTTATTTGTAATTGTTTGTAAAATATTGTTTAAGATTTACATACCTTGAGGAAGTTGTTCCTCAGCTTGCGAGGCTACAGTTGCCATCTCCACGTCATCTTCCTCCTCAAAAAAATCCGTAGCAGCAGAGTCTGTAAAATAACATAAAACACTAAGCACATGTCACCAACACACTTGTATGCGTTAAGTGATACTCACCACATGTAAAGAGCTGTCTCCGGGCTGCGGACTCAGACGCAGGAGGTACACGTGGTCCTGCAGCTGTTGAACACGTATTTTCGTTAGACATATATACTGCATAATATATACTGTAATGATTTTAAAGCTTGCAAATCACTTACAGGTTTTGGCTGGAGACAAAATCTTTTGTGCCAGCTGTGAAGCAGATAAATGCTTCCCCCGCGCCAACAGGGCCTTCACATTGGTCGCCAGCAGTGGCCTGTTCTGAGTGGCAGTAGGTCGAGGAGGAACAGACACAGTGGCAGTGGGCACAGCAGCAGTGAGGGCAGATGCAGCGGGCACAGTGGTGGTGGGCACGTGGGCTGGAGCCTGCCTCTTCAGCACGTATGCTTTGAAAATGGCCATATTGGTGTTAGGCCTGGCCTTTGCCTTCTTCAGGTAGGTGATGAGAGCCTGGGCCTCCTTGCTTGGGTCCTCATACACCTCCTTCATTGACCTACCCTTAAAATCCCCAAACTCCACCATCAGACATCCAGAGTCTCCTGTCCTCTGGGCCTCCTGCAGCATGGCCTGTTTTTTCTGATACACCTCCACAGCCTCGCCTACCTCCCTGATCTGCGAGGTGTATCTGAGGAACAGGTGTTTGTTGGCCGACAGCGGGTTGTCCCTCTCCTCCTCCCCCAAAATGCTGCTGACCAGATAGCAGGCATACCCCAGTGAGTTCTCCAGCAGCCACAGAAACCTCTGACCCTGGTGTTTCCCAAACTGGATCTTGCAGTGAGCCAGAACCAGGAACTGGTCTGCAGGATTCCCTCCATTCTGCCTCACAAAGGCAGTGGCCTCAGCCAGGACCTCCTCCTTACACCTGGCCCTCCCTGCCAATACGATCTCCCTCCTATTGGCCTCCTCAGTTGGCCCCATAAGGAGTCGACCCTCAGAGGTTCTTCGTAAAACCGGGTATGCATACATAATCTGAAAGGACACAGGCATAAACAGAACGTTACATAGCTGTCATATTCCAACTGAAAGTATTTTACTACAGCATTTGTTTTTTATGTAATTAATTATTATAATATTATAATAATTAATGATTATTATTATTATGAGCATAAGCATTATTGTTTTTTTATACAACTGTGAATCACTTTGAATTGCCTTGTGTACAAATTGTAAATAGTGTGATGAACTTATTAATAAGAAAATAAATAACACTTCTTGGTACAATCTTGCTGGTATCATGCCATGCTTAAATCGTTTTGTTTTGTTTAGCTTTTGTGGCAGAGATTACTAAGAAACACCAAATATAACATAAAGGCATTTATTACAATTCATAATAATATGATCATCAAACAGATCTAAAACTTAAAATGGTATATCAAATCGTTTTGGTATTTCTTTTATAACATAGTTGAGAATCATTTGTTGAAACAAAAAAAAACTTGTCTTTAAATATGTATAACATAGTATTTAAAAAGATAACATAAATATGTATACTGGTGTATAACATAGTATAGTATAACATATATGAATTAAACTTTTTTTTAAAAGGTTTTAGTAAAAATGTTCTTGTGCTCAAAATAATGTAATGAATGACACAAAAAAAACTAAATTAACAACAACAACAACAAAATGGTTTAAGGAGGATATAGCTTAATTAGCGGTCGGCTAATTATCTTGACAGTAGTGACAT